AGGGGAGGGGCTAGGGCAACTAGGAGATAAGGGGAGAAAACGAGAACTAAGGGAACTTGACTAACGTGGTGCGTGCAGAAATCAAGAGCGAGGAGCGGGAGCAGGTAACAAGAAATGGCTAGGCGTATGACGGTTTGGGAAATCCGGCCGCGAGGGATCTTGCCGCCACGTTTCTTGGATAGAAGGGTGGAGGTTAGCCTGCCCTCCAAGGGCGGGGTGTATAATCCTGTGATGGAGTGGGTTGTGGTAGAACTAGTAGAGGACACGGTGTACCTGGTGGTGGAACTAGAATGGCGCGCAAGGGGTGAGTTTGGGGGCACCAACCTGGAGTTGCCAAGACGGGTGCAAGCGACAGGGTCCCTATACTTGTTGGATGCGGGATGGCAGACCTTCGGGGTGGCCCTGGCGGATGGCGGTGACCCCGTACGGATGTTTGACGGGGCGTGGCAGGTGACCTGCAGGGAAGGGTTTGCGTTCGCCAACCCGGACCGGGATGACGTGACGGCGACCGTCCGGGTGGTCGAGGTAGGAGCTAGTATCTTGCCTTATGAAAATGTGCGCATGGTCTTGCCACCCTTTTCGCTTGAGCGAATGGGAGGGGTAGAACGTGCTGAGATGGCAGTGATAGCCCTGGGTAGGTTGAGTTTTAGTAACATGAGCATCTATCGAGAATACTACCGAGCCTTTCTGGAACTAGGGCCGTTCGATGAGGAGCAGGAGTACGAGGTGCTAAACATTCTACAGGCCGTAGTGGGCACTAGACCTGGAATACCGACGGTAACCGAGGAAGTCGTGTGGGAGATAGCTAGGCGCGAGATAGGATGCGGGCTGACGTATGTGGACAACGTCCGCCGGCTGTTCGAGGGGGTAGAAGAGTAGGAGGGCAGAAAAGAAAAGCAAGGGGGAAGGTAGATCAGCGGGATCGGGCTATAAGGGGGCTTGAAGAAAACTAAAAAGAGAGGTTCCTTTTCCCTTTTCCCCTTTTTTTTTGTGTGCCTGGTGTATGCAGGGCGATATTCGCCAACAATGGCGGCACGACGCGTCCGTACGAACCGGCGGGACATGCACCCGCAACCGCCCATGGAAACCGGAGGCGGATGGGAAGTGTCACTCCCGGCGAGCTACATTGTCCGCGGGATAGATACGGAATGGCGGGCTGTGACCCTAGGACGGAATCAGGCTTTCATGCTAGTTGAATGCTTATGGGGTGGCATGAGATTCGATAGGGGGCCAGGAGACGACTTATATACTGACCTCAGGGTGACAGGGACTCTATATTTCCTAGAAATCGGGTGGCAAATGTTGGGAACTGGACTAGCCTTGGGGCATGGGTTGTTACCAGTGTTTCGGAGGGCAGTCAGGGTCCTGAACCGGATAGGCCATGAGGTTAGGGGAAGACGGAATGTGGGATTAAGGACGCGAGTAGAAGTAGGCGGATGGCGAGACTTTAGGGCCCCTACGTTTGGAATACGCTGCCGGGTGCCCCAGTTCATGGTTGATTTGGTTTTTGGGAGTCTCGCGCGGGCAAGGGACCTGGTGAATTCAACCGTAAACTGGGAACGCTACTTCTCACCACAGGCCACGGGGATGTTCTATGACGTGGCAGTAAGGCACGGGCCATTCTGGGGAAATCGGGCGCGAGAATTGCTGGAACTTCTTGAGATCCTGATATTCGGAACGCCCCGTCTGTCGTTTGAGGAATACGAGCCAATAATCATAAGGGAGAT